AGAGTATCCAGGTGAGGCAGCTGTTGTTGTCTATCGACAGACGTTGCTACAGTCGTGACAGTGGTCATGACAGGAAGTGGCAGTCAGTAGCAGCGGCGCAAGGGCGTCAGAAGCGACTGCCGTAGCTGCAGCTGTAGCAGTAGCGGTGGTCGCTGTAGTGGCAGGGCAGCGCACGGGCTGCAGGGCAGGGCAGCGCGCTTGCTGCAAGGCAGGGCGACGCGCGAGCTGCAGGGCAGGGCAGCGCGCGGCCTGCAGGGCAGGGCGGCGCGCGGGCTGCAGGGCAGGACGGCGCGCGGGCTGCAGGGCAGGGCGGCGCGCGGGCTGCAGGGCAGGGCGGCGCGCGGGCTGCAGGGCAGGGCGACGCGCGGGCTGCAGGGAAGGGCGACGCGCGGGCAGCAGGGAAGGGCGACGCGCGGGTTGCACGGCAGGGCGACGCGCGGGCTGCAGGGCAGGGCGACGCGCGGGCTGCAGGGCAGGGCGACGCGCGGGCTGCAGGGCAGGGTGACGCGCGGGCTGCAGGGCAGGGCGACGCGCGGGCTGCAGGGCATGATGGCACGCATGCAGCAGGGCAGCGCGACGTGCGGGCTGCAGGGCAGGGCGACGCGCGGGCTGCAGGGCAGGGCGACGCGCGGGCTGCAGGGCAGGACGGCACGCGGGCTGCAGGGCAGGGCGGCGCGCGGGCTGCAGGGCAGGGCGACGCGCGGGCTGCAGGGCAGGGTGACGCGCGGGCTGCAGGGCAGGGCGACGCGCGGGCTGCAGGGCATGATGGCACGCATGCAGCAGGGCAGCGCGACGTGCGGGCTGCAGGGCAGGGCAGCAAGCGGGCAGAGCGCAGGGCAGGGTAGCGCGCGGCGAGCAGGGCAGCGCACGACGACAGCAGCTCCTGGGGCAGTACGTACTGTTGGTGGGCCCTAACGGAGCGGTCCTACGGAGGGACCTGCTCTGATACCATGTTTTGACAACGTGCTCGAAGCGATCTCGTAAGGCTGCGCCCCACTCCTTCCACGTGCGTATCTTGGTCGCATCGAAGATTGAAGTTGCCACTTGATTAGCCGAAGTTGAGGTCCCGTCTGCCGCATGTGTCACACCTGTCAGGGTTCCCATGTCCAAGGTACGTTGCCACCACTCCAGGGCAGCTCCTCGGAGAAGCGAAACCGCGTAATCGTCGTCAACTCGCGCTGCAGTAAAGAAGACCTCCACGCCGAACAACCACCCCTTAACTGTAGTTGCTTTGTCGGTAGGGTTGAACGGGGGCGGGCTCGCGGGTTTTATCTTGATTGTAGTAACTGCAAGTGCTGTTGATGCCGGTGCTGCCTGCCTATCGCTGTCGTCGTTGCCGCGTGCAAGCTCGCCACGTGTATCGACGCCACTCACTCCTTGGCTGGTGGTATCGCCTTGTTCGACGGGCGACTCCTGACGCGCTTCACCTCGGGTCTGGCGTAGCTCTGCGTTTTCTCCACGTAGGGTTGTCACTTCCGACATTAATGACTTCATGTCCTCCTGCATTTCTGCCACTTGCGCCATCAACTTGTTAACCGCTTCGTGATCCATGTGTGTAGCACTCCGTCTGGTGCGATGGGCAAGCGGGTATCCGTGGTCTTCAGGCGAGTAAAAAGCACGAACTATCAGAGTCGGGCAGGTTTAACAAACCTTGCTGCCAACCGTCGTGCAGTCCACTGTACCAGCCAACCCGTGCCGTGCCACCAAACCACCCTCGAAAAGCGGGGTGAACTAGGGAAGTAGCTCTGATACCAGGTGTTATAAGTTGTAAAACAGAGTTGCGCAGAATAACGAATAACGGGGCTGTGACACAATGAGCTGACAATTCAATGAAGGTTGGGTGCAGGTTTGGCGATCGGAAATCCGAAGGCGACGCGGAGCAGCCTCGAAATCGTAGGTGTCGGCCGAACGTGCGAAAGTCCGAAATGTCGGGGTTGTATGCGTAGCAGTCAACCCCGGAAAGGAAAAGGAAATTTCCTTGCATGCTGAGTTCTGGACCCTGAACAATAAGAATTCATTATTTCCCATCACTGAGCAATCAGGGTGCCGTTTTTCTGGAAAATGTGCCTTTAGAGTAAAAAAAAAAAAAAACAAGAGGCGACGAAATCGTCTTAGGGTTGCGAAGCGTTTGGCGTAATTACATAAATTTGTACAACTTCTAATTCTGTGCATTATGCTGTAATATGGCACTAAGTGGTACTCTTCCTCTCGCTAGGCAAAGATTAAAAGAACCACATCAGCAGGAATCGAACTGGAGACCTTTAAACTTCACGTTCTACCTTATACGACTACGACAGCGCTGATGTCGATATTGAACAACTACAGTTATAGGACTCTTATCTTTGCGACGAATCTGAGACTACCTTAGGGTTTGTTAGTCCCTTTTTTCTCCCGCTTCTCCTTCTCGCTGGTCACGCTCTACCAGCTTCTCCACCTACTCTAACTGCAACTTAGGTAAGAAGATCCCTCAGCTCTAGCTCCAACTAAGTTAGATGCCTATTAGATAGAGTAACATTTAGTCAATCCGTATCCTTACTGTGTAAATGGATGAGTATTAGCTAGACTTAGTTGTTTAAACGTAGGTTCTAGGCCCTGTAAAGATTTCAGGTTCTCCTTGTTTATTTTTTTTTAGATTTCGTTTCTTCCTGCATAAGCTTGCATCTGTTTCTTCTATTCTTCATCCTTCACTTTTCCTTTCATCGGTTGCCTTTTCTTCATATTTGCATGTTTTAGTTCATTTTTTTCTCAACCTCGTCTTAGGTTGTACATAAAGATTGTAATAGGTTGCACGTTCAGTCCATTTCGTTCTCTCTCGCTCGTTCTCTCTCTCCCGTTCTCTCTCTCCCGTTCTCTCTCTCCCGTTCTCTCTCGCTCGTTCTCTCTCTCCCGTTCTCTCTCTCTCCCGTTCTCTCTCGCTCGTTCTCTCTCTCCCGTTCTCTCTCTCCCGTTCTCTCTCTCCCGTTCTCTCTCTCCCGTTCTCTCTCGCTCGTTCTCTCTCTCCCGTTCTCTCTCTCCCGTTCTCTCTCTATCGTTCTCTCTCTCTCGTTCTCTCTCGTTCTCTCTCGTTTTCTTTCTCGATCTCTCTCTCTTGTTCGATCTCTCTCTCTTGTTCTCTCTCTCTCTCGTTCTCTCGTTCTCCCTCGTTCTCTCGTTCTCTCTCTCTCTCTCGTTCTCTCTCTCTCGTTCTCTCTCTCTCGTTCTCTCTCTCGCGTTCTCTCTCTCTCGTTCTCTCTCTCTCGTTCTCTTTCTCTTGTTCTCTCTCTCTCTCTCTCTCTCTCTCTCTCTCTCTCTCTCTCTCTCTCTCTCTCTCTCGTTCTCTCTCTCGTTCTCTCTCTCTCTCTCTCGTTCTCTCTCTCTCGTTCTATCTCTCTCGTTCTTTCTCTCTCTCGTTCTCTCTCCCTCTCGTTCTCTCTCTCTCGTTCTCTCTCACGTTCTCTCTCTCTCGTTCTCTCTCTCTTGTTCTCTCTCTCTCTCTCTCGTTCTCTCTCTCTCTCTCTCTCTCTCTCTCTCGTTCTCTCTCTCTCTCTCTCTCTCTCTCTCTCTCTCGTTCTCGCTCTCTCTCTCTCTCTCTCTCTCTCTCTCTCTCTCGTTCTCGTTCTCTCTCTCGCTTTCTCTCTCACGTTCTCTCTCTCTCGTTCGTTCTCTCTCTCTCTCGTTAGTTCTCTCTCTCTCGTTCTCTCCCTCTCGTTCTCTCTCTCTCTCTCTCTCTCTCTCTCTCTCTCTCTCGTTCGTTCTCTCTCTTGTTCGTTCCCTCTCGTTCGTCCTCTCTCTCTCGTCCTCTCTCTCTCGTCCTCTCTTCTCCTCTCTCTCTCGTTCTCTCCCCCTCGTTCTCTCACTCTCGTTCTCTCTCTCTCTCGTTCGTTCTCTCTCTCTCGTTCGTTCTCTCTCTCTCTCTCTCTCTCTCTCTCTCTCTCTCTCTCTCTCTCTCTCTCTCTCTCTCTCTCTCGTTCTCTCTCTCTCGTTCTCTCTCTCTCGTTCTCTCTCGTTACACCCATTCTCTTCATTCTCTTTTAAACTTCAATTCTTAATATCACATCTTTCTTGCATTCGATGCTTCTGTTTTGTTATCGCAGATACTTGCTTTTAGGCAGGATGGATTTGAAGGAAGTGTCGTACCACTTACAGTGCATTTTTTTAGTTCCTTAAATTATGAGTAAATGTTTGATTTGTTTCATTTCTGTTTGTATTATGTTGTTGCAACCGTAATGCATGTCTGCATGTCCCAAAAATATATCTTGCTGATCATCGTCACAAAAGGTTGAGTGGTCCACGACTATGACAGTGAAGCCATTTTCAGCTGGACTTGATCGGTTTAGATATTTTTTTGGGATATGCAGATTGTATTGCTTTGTTATGGTAGCTGTTTAATTCAACGTTTATATTGCTGACTTCCCCGACATGCTAGGCGGGGGAAGCGGTAGTATAAATTTAGGACTTGAAATATTCATCAATTCGTTTGATGAATGTGAGATGCAATTATCGTTTGGTCGGTCATTGCATTTCTCCACAGATTCTCAAATTTCATAATTATGCGCGTTACAAAAAAACTTAAGAGTAGCAATGACGAACAAATTATTATGAAGCAAAACATGTATGACATTTACAAGGTAAGATTATTAAGTTTATCAGTACCCTAAGCAAACATATCTCTAGTTTTTTACATTTTTTTTGGCGGATATTTAAAAAATAGTGAAAAAAAAAAATGCTTCAGGTCGATTGCAATAGGTTGCTTCGCAGCAACCCAAAAAGGTGGAAATCAGGGTGACCAAATGTGAAACGTCAGCCCTGTCTAGAATGGCAAAAAATGGCAGATTTCTCTGATTTTCAGCGTTCACTGTTGTATCAACTCTGATTCTTCAGACTAGCCCAAAAACCAATATGTGGCCCTGATATGGATAGAGCAGTGGGTGGGTCCACCAACATTGAGCACTGTTCATGCAGATGCTGTACAGAGGAACATACCAGTACACTATTCACAATAATTGGGGTGCCATTGGTAATCATGGGAAACTTCTCTGCACATTAGTGAAGTGGATTGAAACAAAGCTTCGGCCCTGTATTGCCACACTCGCCGCTGCCTTCCCTTGAGAAAGCACCACTTCGGCCATGTCCTGCATCCATGAGGTGCGCCGCACCACAGCCCTCGTCCTGCCATTCACGTTCATTCTAAACCCAGCGAGGCTCACGGACAGCTGAGCAGCAGTGGGCTTCTGGTTCACCACAAAGACACTCACAGTGAGGTCTCCAGGGTGGTAGAACCCCACTATGCCGTGCCAGCACTTAGACGGCATCAGCAGGGGCTGGCTGCCGGGCCGCACCAGGCTCGTGAGCATCTTAAACATGTGATACCGCTTCGTCAGCACGGGATTGGGGATGGGGCCAGAGTAACCAGCAGGATAAGTCCAGGGGAAGCGCACGATCGCCCAGCCGATATCAGGGTCATAGGCCATCCAGTAGACGAAGGCGGAGGCATGCATGAAGTTGACAGCCTCCATGACCGTTCGCACCACGTACAGCGACAAGTCGTACGGGTGCCCGCCCCGCCCCATGTGCCCTGCCTCCGTCACCCACACCTCCTTGCCCAGCCGCTTCGCTATATCACGCACTGCCAGGTACGCCTGCCCTGTGTGCCGCGCGGGGTCCTTGCCGGGCGGCGCAGGGTCCATGTACGAGTGCACGTTGATGCGCGCCGCCGACTGCATGCCGCGCATCGACGCCAGCGCCCTGCCTGCGCTCTCCACCCAGCTGTCAAACGCCGCCACGCGCGTGCGCAGGCGCCTCGCCTTGAGCAGCTTCACGGTCTGCGCCAGCACTCTGCCCATGGCTGCCGGGTCCACGTTGCACCCTTCCTGCCCGTTGCCCGCCATCCAGAACCCCTCCAGCGGCTCGTTGAACGGCTCTAGCGAGTCGAACGTGAGGTTCCACGCGGGGTTCTTGGCGAATTGCTGCACCACTGTAACCAGGTAATTCGCGAACTTCCCCTCGTATTTCCGCTGCAGGTTCGTCTGGTTCTTCCCCGTGGCCCCCGCCACGTCCCCCGACACAGTCATCCACCACGGCGGGCTGTTGGAGAACGCCTCAAACACGTTCGCCCCGCGCGCGCGCGCGCCAAAAAGCACGTTCCTCTGCCGCTGGTCCGCCGTCCAGTCAAACGCGGCGGTCTCGGCAGGCCAGTAGCCCGGCATGGCCTTGAGGCGCGTCTGCTGGTCGCGCCCGAACTGCGGGCTGTGCAGCGCGCTGTTCCCTCCGCCGATGTTGTAGCGCACTATGTTGAGCCCCAAGCCCTTGGTCTTATGGAATATGGCGTCCAGTAGCACGTCCATGTTCGCCTGCGCCAACCCGCCTATGTAGTTGCCCTGCCTGGGACAAGGGACGGTGGGGGTGGTTGGTGAGGAGGGGGTGGTGAGGAGGGATGAGGGGGTAAGGAGAAGAATGGGAGGGGAAGACGAGGGAGGTGGTGGGACGGAGGGGGCTAGGGGCATGATGATGACAACGACCGCGGAAACGGAGGCCGGGAGCGTGCATGGATGTGAGAGGGACTGAGCGAGCGGGGACGGACGAGGGTCAGGCGTGCACGAACAGGGGGCCGAGAAAGCACATGGAAGGCAGCAAGTGCCACCCGTGCTTGCTGTGACTCTCCGCCTGTGTGTCTCACTACCCCCGCCTACGCCATGCACACCCGCGCATAACCCCCTGCTGCGCAGACGCCCCGTGCTCAGCTCTAGCACACAACGGTAATCATCGCCGAGCGCGCGCGGCGGCGGAGCGGGCTCACCACGCGAGGGACGTGCCCCACCCCTTCCACGTGGTGCCGATGAACGTGGGCGTCACCGTGAAGTTGATGTCTCCTGCACGGGGGCGCGCACGCACGCACACACACGCACGCATACACACGCACGCACACACACGCACGCATACACACGCACGCACACGCGGGGAAGTGGAACACGCGCGCACACATACACCCACAAACACGCGGAATGGGGTCAGGCAAAGCTAGTAAGAGAGGAAGATCGCCATGGAGCGGCGGCGGCTGCGGTTCTCCCGCGCCGAAGCGTACAGCGGGACGTGGGGAGCGAGCGAGAGACCAGCGGCGAGGGGGCGGGAGGCGGGCGGCACCTGCGAAGCTGCAGATGTCGAACACCTCGCTCGCCGGCGACAGCGACGGCGGCGGAGGCTCCCCGTCAGACCCCTCCGCCGCATACACGCGCCCGCCCTGCTCCCCCGCGTCGCCTCCCTCACCGCCGCCATCCGGATCCCCGAGCCCCGTGTTGCTCGCGCCGTAAAGAGCGGCGGATTCTGCGGCGGAGAGCGGGCGCAGGCGATGGCGGTTGAGAACGCGCGCGAGGGCGGGCGAGGGGAATAAGGGCGAAACCGCCACGAGGAGGAGGAGGAGGAGCAAGATCTGCGGTGTGGTCCGCGCGAACGGCGGTCGTGGTGATGCGAAGCGGGAGCGGTGAGGGATATTTCTAGCCGTCCTGGCCCGGGTGCTGCCGGCTGTGGCGGCGGCCATGACCAGACGGCGTCGTGACTCGCCGTGGCGGTTGGGAGGAGGGGGGATGAGGCGAGGGGGGGCAGCAAGCGCAGGCTAATACTTCGGGTACTCTAGTACTACTACACGTCGACGAGCCGGACTCCACTACGATATGAGTCACGATGCTGGCGGGCTGTGGGGGGCGCGCGACGTAAGGCACACGCTGCTGGGGAACTTTCGAAGAATGAGAGTGCGACGAGCGAGCGTTGAACGATCAATGTGGGTCACATCAGCACGTTGGCGCTGTATACTTCGTTTCTAAGCAGAGAAAAGTATGAGAATGGCTGGGGTGCGGCCCCAATTGAGTTCTCGATTCCAAGCAGCGAACGAGCTGAGCAGTCTCGATCCGCTGCGTATTCTACAACCGGCCATGGGTTTTGCTGAATTCGCCCAACACAAGCAGTCACCCACGCAGTCCGTGTGCACAGGAAAACTTCGCACACGAAAACGGGCGGAGAGGCGAGAGCGCAGGGGGGACAAGGGCGCACGCAAGGGGAGGGAACAAAAATGGCGACAACTGCTGCGACGGCATCGCACGTGGCGACAATGCGAATAAAATTGAATTGCCCTCCACAGCAGGTTTCCGTCGCTCACTTGTCGGTGGGCCAAGGACTTGGCGACGGCACATCTCGCCACCACTCCTGTGCGATGGATGCAACAGCAGAGAGGCGACACGTGCTTCGTCGCACATGGGTGTGGTGTGGTTGGTGACTACCGGCATATTACACCACCCGACTCCAGGTAAGACGCAAACGATTTTGTTTTTTTTTAAGCTTTACAAGATTGAAAGATGTGATGTACTCTTACATACAGACATACAAATAAGCAAGTTGGATTCCACATCCATATCCAACATATCAAATGCATATTCTCGCGATGATACCCAGGTTTTCCGTTTGAGGAGTACAGAAAGTACGTTGTTGTGCTCCCATGCTTCAAAATTCCTGCCCCAGCCTTTTCCATGGAATAAAAACTCTACCACCCATTCACCCACCGTATTCGTGAAGCGAGCTCTTTTAGAGGTTGTTGCCAAATAGCAGAACATGTAACAATAACCTTTGTCAACATCCATTTGAGAGCTTGGAACTAGGGTCAACAATCTGTTGCAAGCCGTCACGCAGCGTCTTGCTTGGCATGAATCTTCTTGATTGCGGCAGGCGCAGTGAACATGGCCATGACGTCAGCATCACACTACGCAAACAGTGTCTCTAGAAGCTATGATGTGAGCCATAACGACTGATTAGTGGGAAAGGCAATAGGTGGGGAAGGCGGATGTGAGAGACATGCTGTTAGAATGTGTCAAATTGCAATTATATGCTTGTAGGGTGTAGTATAGGGTACAACCCTTTTAGGGTTGAGCACTTGTATCTCATTGCTGCTAGTCACAAACCATTCCCGCTGTTCTCATTCTGACATGGTATCATGCGCTAGGTTAGGTCCGACTATTGAACCTACTACCGAACCTACGACTAGGTTAGGTTTGCCCCGCAGTCCCGCGCCTCGAGCGTCACTGCCATGCTGCCCGCGCGCCCCGCGCTGCCCTGCCCTGCGCGTCGCGCTGCCCTGCCCGCGCGTCGCTGCCCTGCCCGCGTGCCGTCGAGCTGCCCTGCCCCGCGCGTCGCGCTGCCCTGCCCGTGCGACGTCGTGCTGCCCTGCCCTGCGCGTCGCGCTGCCCTGCCCGCACGCCGTCGCGCTGCCCTGCCCACGCGCCGTAGCGCTGCCCTGCCCGCGCGCCGTCGCGCTGCCCTGCCCCGCGCGTCGCGCTGCCCTGCCCGCGCGCCGTCGCGCTGCCCTGCCCGCGCGCCGTCGCGCTGCCCTGCCCCGCGCGTCGCGCTGCCCTGCCCCGCGCGTCGCGCTGCCCTGCCCGCGCGCCGTCGCGCTGCCCTGCACGCGCGCCGTCGCGCTGCCCTGCCCCGCGCGTTGCGCTGCCCTGCCTCAGCGACGTCGCGCTGCCCTGCCCGCACGTCGCACTGCCCTGCCCCTGCACCGTCCGCGCTGCCTTGCCCGCGCCGACGAGCTGCCCTTGCGCTGCCACCACTGACCGCCGCTACGGCAACTGCAGCCGCAGCCTCTACCTGTGCGTCGCTGCTGCCCGTGCACTGCTACCACCGCTCCTGCCATAGCTGCCGCTACATCCACTACAGCAGCCACTTCAGCTACTGCATCCGCCGTTACAACTGCCACAGCCGCAGTACCTACCGCTACAGGCACCCACTGCCGCTACACCTGCCACTGCCGCCCTTGCGCCACTGCTGCTGACTGCCGCTGCCCGTCATGGCCAATATCGCGGTCTTGGCGGTTGACGCAGACGGACGCCCTTTCAAGTTAGGGTTGTGGCTTACGTGCCTCCGCATGTACCTCCGGCGTTTCATTAGAGATAGCGTCTCCCTGCTCGAGCACACGTCGGGGTCCCTTCATGACCCCACGACTCCCACTGAGCCTGCTGCTGACGCTGGAGAGGACTTGCAGTGGCGGTACCGGGCGGACCGCCTTGCCTACACATAGTGGACGGAGCGCGACGCTGTCGCACAGCTTGCCGTTCGAGCTCACCTGCCGGTCGACCAGCGGGCCCACTTTCGTCAGGTGACGTCGGCCCAGACTTTTTACGACGCTGTGGTTAGACACTACTCATCAATCTCTCCTGCCACCCGGCCACTGCGGCAGTACCGTTCGTTGTTAGGGGAGGTGCAGCAGCTGGTCGAGGAGGCGAGTGTAGGTACCTGTGCGTCTGCTCGTACAGGTGGTGCCGCTGGTGGAGGCGAAGGTTCTGGGGTTGGACAGCAGCGGTAGCAGCGGCAGTAGCGTCAGCCGGAGACCCTCTCGCCGTAGCGGTCTCGGGAGTGGGTTTCCCAGCGACGCATCCCTGGTGGTGTAGAGGCTATTATTCTAGGTGCCAGTGAGCCAGCTAGCACAGGTGCAGCTCCCGCGGAGGCTTTGCACACCTTCACGCTTGACTCAGGCGCATCTCGCTGCTTCTTCCGCGACTGCACCACAGTCACACCGCTCGTTGCACCTGTCCCGGTCACTCTGGCTGACCCCTCTGGTGGCCCAGTTGTTGCACGTGGCTCCACCGTTCTCCTTTGTCCGGCAGCCCTCTCCGGCTCCCTCACAGGTCTCCACCTCCCCTCGTTCGCTATGAACTTGGTGAGTAACGCTGTCCTCCAGGACCGGTTTGTCACTACCACTACTCCTGGGGGTGAGCTTGTGGCGATCTGTACAGACTCACGGACTGGCGCCCACCTCGCCACATTCACTCGGAGACCCGGGTCTGGCCTGTACACACTGACCACTGAGTCTCCAAAGGTAGATGCGTCTGGTCAGGTCGCTGCGTCTTGCTCATGTCGGTTACTCACGCACACGTCCCTCCTCTGGCACCACCGGCTGGGTCACCCCTCCATGCCGCGTCTGCTTAGCATGCACTCCCGTCTCCTTGTCTCTGGCCTCCCCATGTCCCTACGCCCGCTCCCGCGGTCGCTTGCATCGCCGTGCCTTCCATGCGTCGAGGGGTGGCAGCGCGTCGCTCCTCACTCCTACTCGATTCCTCCGACCACTGCTCCTCAGCAGACTCTCCACATGACGTGTGGGGCCCCGCCCGCGTCAGTGGACAGGACCGAGAGCGCTACTTTCTGTTGGTTGTTGATTACTACACCCACTACACCACAGTCTTCCCCTTGCAGAGCAAGGCGGATGTCCGCAGTGTCTTGATCCCTTGGATCCGCACTGTCCGTCGCCAGCTGAGCTCACGGTTCCTTTGCCTGCACTCTGACCGAGGTAGTGAGTTTTCCTCCCGCCTCTTAGGAGGGCATCACCCAGTCGTTCACGCTTCCGGCCTCTCCACAGCAGAATGGGATTGATGAGCGCTGCATTGGCTTGATCATGGAGGTTGCTCGCACCTCCATGATCCATGCGGTTGCTCCCCATTTTTAGTGGCCGTTTGCGGTTCGATACACAGCGCATCAGCTCAACCTCAGGCCCTGTGTATCCATGCCAGAGACCTCGCCTACACTGCGTTGGACGGGGCAGGTTGGCGATGCGTCGCTGTTTCGGGTCTGGGGCTCGCTTTCCCTTGTTCACGATACCATCGCGGGCAAGCTCCCTTCTCGCACAGCTCGCCGCTTCTTCCTTGGCTTTCCCACCGACGCGCCTGGCTGGCAATTTTACCACCCAGCCACGCGTCGTGTCCTGTCCTCCCAGGACGTCACCTTTGACGAGTCGGTTAGCTTCTACCATCTCTTCCCCCACATCACTTCCCCCGTTCCCTCCCCCCCCCCCCCCCCCCCCCCGTCTCTTCCTGATCCAGGCCCCCCCCCGATAGACCCCCTCCTCCCACAGGGTCCTGCTCCCTCAGGTGTGTCTCAGGTTGACCCACCCCCCTTCGTTGAGCCTTTGGAGGTCTCCTCAGACACCTCTGGCCCAGCGGAGAGGGGTGACCCTGCTGCTGACGACACACCTGCCACTCGCCGCTCACCGCACTTGGAGACCCCTCCTGGTTTTCCGCCTCGGCCGTCTTCGCCGCCTCTGCAGCCTGTCGCTGTAGACTCCGATGCTGCTGGGGGTGGTGACACTGGAGGTGTGGACTCTGGGGGTGCTGTTCCTGGGGGTGCTGACTCTGGAGGTGCTGGTTCTGGGGGTGCTGTGTCAAGGGGTGCTGGTTCTGGGGGTGCTGAGCGTACTAGTGGTGGTGGAGTCGTGGGTGCTCCTGCTGGAGAATCTGGCGGTGGACAGCAGCAGCAGTCTTGTCGTCAGGAGACTCTCTCGCCGCAGCAGCTTCGCGAGTGGGCTATTAGGTGAGGCCACACTGGTGGCGGTGCTGGAGCTGGAGATGCTGGAGGCGCTGGTGCTGGAGGTACTGGTGTTGGAGGTGCTGGTGCTGGAAGTGCTGGAGCTGTAGGTACTGGAGGTGCTGGTGCTGGAGGTGCTGGTGCTGGAGGTGCTGGTGCTGGAGGTACTGGTGCACGTCGGCAGGAGCTCTCTCGCCA